ACATTTATGCTCAATAATTAATTGAATAATTGGTTCGTATATCTTATCGCTTAAGGAAATGTTTCTTTGAATTTGTAATTTATTATCGTAGCCGTTCACGATAAATGTGTTTCTATCATTCACTAATAACTTGCTTACTGTATAAAAAAAAAAAAAAAAAAAAAGAAAAAAAATAATTGTTCATTTTACTATATGCTACTTTATTGTTTGTATGTTGTTTGGCGTCCTTCGAAAAGAATTCACAATGATGTGAAACACCTGCCATGCTTCAATAATGCATATTGAATATTTTACAATGGCGAAAGATTATTTTATTAACATTGTAAAGACACGTCAAGAATATAATAGTTCTGGAAAAATTTATATGACTTTCACGTGATGTATCATTATAGCTATCATTATAGATATTAATTAGAGATATGTATATATTATCATGAATTGAATACTACAAATCCATTTATTTTACGATGTTTATAATGATTGACTGTAAGTTAGAATAAAATATAAATTTCTTCGATATGAATTGAACAAAAAAATCTTTTATTCATATACTTTTACTTTTATTTATTTTTACTTCACTTCTACTTCATTACACAATTTCAATATTGAAAATAAAATTTATTAAGCTCGTTTTTTATATTAAAAGAAATAAAATTATATTTTAATATAATTACGTACGAATATTTGAAATATTTTCTATTTTCATTTTAAATCTGATTTATTTTATTATAAAATTGCAAGTTGATCGATTGAATCAAATACGATTATTTTATATCAGAATATATATGATAAATTAATATTCGTGGAACATAAATTCCTTTTAAAAATAGATAAAAATTTAACGTATACAATCATAATATATAAAAGATTTAGCGAATTATATGCTACATTAAATTCTTAAAATATATTCTCCATTTGCAGCAAAAAAATATAAATAATTAGATCACTTTACGTATTCGTTTATCTTCCGAAACACGAATTTCGAATTACTTTCAACTTTCTTTCAGATAATCGCCTTTATTGAAATTTTATCACCCATCCAGAAGATATTCTACTTCAATACGAAATGCCCTGTATTTATGTCAAATCGAGTACAATGCAGATAAATGCAGTAGCACTGCTCTTAAACGTCTTTTCTTTATCTCTCTTTTTAAGCAGACGTGAGGTTTGCAAAAAGACATGGCGCACAATTCATGTTCTCTTCAAATGTGGTTTTACCTCTTATTGATGCGCAGCACGGTCGTGCCTTTTGGGTTCGTGCCAAGCAATCTGATTCAAAGCTTCGGCTACATATTCCCTGCAAAACGGCCAAATGGCTAATAAAAAATGCTTTTCCGTTCCTCAATGAGATAGCCAAATCACTGCGGAAAAATTTTTCCTGAAACGAACTGATTTTAACAAAGTTATGTTTTGATTATGCTGTAAATTGTGCTTTTAATTTTTTTAAATACTTATTAATGGAATTGGAAAAATTATTCTACAAAAAAAAAAACTATCATTTAGTATAAAACTATGTAATTATCGAAGATTTAAGATATTTGATATTTGATATTTAAAATATTCATAATTTATTGCGACTAATGAAATTGAAAATATTGAATGTTTTGAAGAATATGCAAATATTTTAAAAAGTTTTATAAACATAATAAAAAAATATAATAAAGATGTTGATTAATATAATTAAGTAAGAGATATGTATATTTTTTTAGATTTGAGCGTAGTCGCGTAGTCATAACTTATTTTTTTTTTTTCCTCTCCTATTTTTGCATGATAAGATATCATTTTTGCAACTAATTGGAACTATAAATAAAACATTAAGTAAATCAGATTTATACAAATTTATGTGTTAATATATTTATTAAAGAACGTGGATTATAAAATAGCTAAATTTAAAATTAAAAAAATCAATATTTTTTACATTTTATTTTAAATACAAAATGTAAAAATATCCGTTTTTTTAAATTCCTGTTAGTTTATTTACCAAAAAAAAAAAAAGAATAAATAAAAAGCTTTATAGCTTTTCCAAGCTACAACAAATTAATTCAGATATATTAAAAGTTATTTATTTAGCAAAAAATATCTATATTTCTCTTCTCTGTTTATAAGTTTATAAAAATTTATTGAAAATACGAATATAACAAATTTCTTTGGATATATTTTCTAGAAATTTCGATTACGGTGAAGAGTAAAACGGAAAAGAAGAAGAAGAAGAAAAAAAAAGATATAGCAATTCGATCCAACAACTTCCACTATAATTACCCAACGTTTAACAGCTGTTCAGTTGCAGAATTTTCCATCAAACCCCTCCACTTCCGGTTTCATTGTTCTCTCTTTCCTTCTATGCACATACCTGCCACGAAATCAATCAACACGTAGAATACGCGCGCTATGATATATCCACCAGGAGGATATAGATTGTGTCGTTGTCATGTCTTACTTACACACTATGCTTTAGGGTATAGTGCAATCATTAATTATTAAAAAGGTCGAAAGGTCGTAGTAACAGGGGTTACATCGTGGCTCTTTTTCAACCCTGTTGTCAGTCTGATTTCCCGGCTGGCCCGTGGTTGACTCTTCGCGTTTTTGCTCTTTAGAGAATATTCCTCTTCGACCTCAGCTGACTTTATTTTATTTTATCAAATTCATCAAATTTTTATCAATTGATTATCGTCCACTGATATTATTTAAATCCGTATACGATGGATTAACCGGCGAAAGTCGTTGAAAAATTGCAGAAATTGCAGGATAAATAATCGTAAAATTAATAAAATTATTTCGTTTCTTGTGGAAGATATGAGCATCTTATTCATTGCTCGATTAGCTCTTAGCTCGTTAAGGGCAAATCTACGAAACTCGATCCGAGTAGTTTTTAAAAAACATCGGTTCCAACGTGGTTTCTACTAAAAATTATATCGTTTATATTATAAAAAATTCTTCTATAGATGTATTGTTGCGGGACGACAATATTTCCCTATTAGCTGATTTCGAAGGACGTAATAATTCAAAATTGTTTTTCTCTTTTCCTTAGAATTTATATTTTGAAAATTTTTATAAATTATTAATGATGATTAATTGTTTTTCGAATTTCTTCAACTTGGAAATCGTTTAAAATCATTTTTTAATTAATCGTCGAAAATCGTTTCCAAAGTTTGGTATAAAATTTCTTTAAGAATTTCTTTTTACCTGTAAGATTCAATTTTTTTTTTTTTCATCCTATCGGTAAAGTTTTAAATTGGTATTAAAGTCTCGTAGAAATTTATTCTTTTTTTGCGAGGCAACAAGTAAAGAGGAGCAACGAAGATCTAATTTTAACTTTTAAATAAAACATCACGTAATTATTTAACAATCACCGTGTCACTTCTTTTTGTCGCACACAATTTATCGAAGAAAATTCAACGTGGCTGTCGCATTTGTTTTTCAATTTTCTCTTTACTGGTTCGTATCGGTGTTATTTGAAAGGGAAAAAATTGCGGCACGTTTTATCAAATTTATTATTTATTTTATACATATGTATCCAGGTGAATCTGAGTTCATAACGATTTTTGGGATACGAAAAATCGATATCGATACTGGATTCTTGTCATATTAAGGAATTCGTTTTCAAAAGTAACTGTGTTTATAAAACTGAATATTAGAAAAAGAAAGAATTGAACGATGGAATTCGAAACGCGTGCTTTGATCGATTTTTGCCTCTCTTCTGGCCCAGTCACCAGGGTTAGGTACGTGTATATATTTATAGAAATTTTCGAATATAATATTATTATTATTCTTCACATTTCTTTCTTATTGTTTTTTTTTTCTTATTGATGTTTTAATATATTATTTATCGTCAATAAAATTTCACATAAAATTTATTGTACGATTTTATATTTCGTGTTTTGCATGGATCAATGTGAGGCTTATTTTTTTTTTTAAATTTTCATATTCATTAATATGATGTCTGTGTTTAAATTAATATTATATGTAATTTTTTTTTGTCTACAATTCAATTCATTGTTTTTTTTAAATTAGTTTAATGTATGATTTATGTAATACTTGATACTTGATATATTATTGAAGATTAATTAATTTGTAGGTTGGATTTTTTAGAGATTAGAATCGATTGAAATGTATTATTCAAATGAAAAATTATATTTTAATATAACATTATTGTGATAAATATATTTAAAAAAAAAACAGAATGTTTTTAACAATTGTTATTTTGCATATTAATGTATTGAATATCTTTTTCTTTTAACGTCACGATTCAGATTTTTAAAATGAATACAGAATAAACTGATAAAAAATTTTTTATTATCCCATATAATTATTTCGGAGTCACAATATAGAAAAAAAAAAAAAAAAGGAAAAGAAAAGAAAAAACACTATCTTTATTTACGGTAGATTAACTTATTATGAAATCACTGCAAAGATTGCAATGACCGATGAACTCTTAACTATTTGTACTTCAATTATTCACTGACAAACTAAATACGATAGGCAATATGATAATAAGAAACTGGTGACCAACGACCGTTTATCGACAATAATTATTTTTAAATGTTAAATTTAGAAATGAATTTAAAATTTCAAATATATTTAACTAATTTTAAAAATTAGTCAAACTAAAATAAAAATTATTTTTATAAATAAAACAAAATTTATTTGATATGAAATAATTTAAAAAAAAAAAAATAACATAAACTTAGGTCAACACGTTTGAAAAAAGATATCCAATTATTGTAATTTGAAAAGACAATTTAAAAAAAAAAAAAAATAGTAGACAAGACTTATTCTTTTACTTTTTTAAATATAATATAATTAATCGAAATATAAATAAATTTAGAAAATAAAAAAAAGGAGCGGGGAGGGGGAAGAGGAAGAAATAATAAAAAAAATTAATATTTATGTACAATTAATATCTGTATCGTCGATTTATCTTTCTCGCATAATTCCAACAAGATCGCTCGTAAAAATATTTCAGTGAACGAGGCATTGATTGGTTTATCTGTATTTTTCCAGGTCTGCGGGGTCCATAGGAGCACGATCCGCGCCCAGCACGCCTCTTCAAGTATCTCCTGGTGCGCAACAAGCGGGCCAACAGTCGATTAGTAGTGGCTCTCAGCTTACAGTAACCTCTGCCAATAACTCTCAGCCTCCGAGAAGCCCGAGCCACGCGACCTTGAGATGTAACGACAGGTGAGATCTACGATCTTTCTGCAATCAGCTTCTCGTTTTCACCTTCCACGTGTAAACAGGTCTTATTACGATACACAACAGCATCTGTCTCATCAGATGATATTTTATTTTTTGATGGAAATGGCGTATAATCTCGCAGCAAATCGTTGGAAATTACAAATTTGGCTGGTAAATTATAGATTGATTATCTTATGACCGATTTAATTAGATTTTCAATAAATTGTAGATTGTTATCGATAATGGATAATGGATTAACATTTGTCATTTGGTAGTGGTTATTTATAAATTTTTTTTTTTTGTTGATATTTCAGAAATTAATTTTCTGTTATTCACTTTTTCTTCTAATTTTTCATGAGATTAAAATTTTTCACATTCCTTATACACTATTAATCATCTGTTAGAGTATGAATTTTAGATTAGTAAATAAAATTGATATACATCCCTAATAAATACACACAATATACCACGTGCATATAGGATGAGTCATATAAAATGTGATAATTTGTTTTCTCTGAAGCTATTCACGTGCTTTTATATTTAAATTGAATCGTTTATAGAGGCTAATCATATAGAGTGTAACAAATCTTTGGTGAAGTTCTCTTTGAAGTTCAAAAAGTTTCTGCTTCCGTTTCTTTTTTAAACGGAATAATATATTTTAAATATAATAAATTATCATTCATCAAATCTAATCTTAATTTCACTTTAATCTCATTATATTAAGAGTTAATTTTCTTCAATTTTTTTTCAATATTTGTTAAAAATTCATAATGAAATCATAGAGCTATAAAATATCTTACATATACATTGAAAATTTTCAATAAAAAACTAATTTTATGTTATAAGCATAACATATAACACACATTGCATTGAATATATTTCATGAATTAATTTCATTTTTATTACTTGATTTTTTATGTGATAAATTGTGAGAGAACGAATGAATCAAAAGAAAAGAAATTGACGACTTAATTATTTTAATTGGGATTGAAATTGATGAAGATTCGACCTTAGATTTTTCATTCATTGAACAAATCATTCAGCTAATTAAGTATTTCCATTCATTTAATTCTTGCTTTTTCTAAATTCTTGCTTATAACTTTAAAGTTAACACCTTGTACATATTTCACCCTATACTTTATCCCAATTTTATTAACCTACTCTACATTTATGTATAAAGGTCAAATGGTTAAGCTTGAAAAGGCTTAAGACTATTATGCCAACTTAATATTTATAGATGATGGTTTATAATATATCTATTGTTGCATAAAATGACAAATGAATAAATATATTTAAAAATAAATATATTTGTTTCTAAAAATTATCAAACACATTAATTAATCTTTTTTCCATAACAAAAAATCCAAAAAATCTTTCCGTATGAAAAATTGAAATAATGAATTATCAATGATGAATTAACATTTGCATATTATGATATGATAGCGGTTTTAACGAAGTTTATTGTGGGGTGTAAAGTTCGATGATCTTTGTATCATAATGAAATATGTATAATTGAAAATATTCCAAGAAAATATCTATATTCATATTGGAAATTCCTTGTGTTTTCATGATAATTAGATAATTTATTTTAATAATCATATACTAATTACAATATATATTTATTATTCTTTATAAATTTTCTAAAATAATTATATTATTTAGATTTTTATTAGATTATCTAAAATTAAAGTGAATAATGTAATAGTTTTTTTCATCGTTTCACTCATCTTTTGTCCATGATTTTCACTAAATCATTGTATTGCCAAAAATACGAAATAAAATTTTCTACTATAACATAACTGATCGTTACAGATTTAATATTTCAAGGAATTATTAGTTGTGCGAGATAACATATCACGAGATATCGAAACACCTGTTCATATAGAACAGTAAAAAGCAAATTACGTTGTTTCTGCCACACCTGCCTGATAAAGATTTTGAATAAATAACATCAATTTTTTGATCATTTATAATATAACATTCAATATATTTATTCTTATTCAAATATTTATTCTGTTAATTTGAATAGGAGTCGTTGTTACCACAAATCTTTTCCCTCCAATCTAATATTTGTCTTTAAATAAAATTTACCTCAAAAAGAATTATGAAAGCTAGTTTAATTGTACATTGACACGCGAAATACATATTTCATTCGTAACATCACACGAACGATATTGATCACATGGAAGGAAATAATATTCAAGTTTCTTTCTTTTTTAATTCTTTTAATGAAGAATAATTAATTTTTTCTTCTTCTAATTTTTATTGTTGTTGAAACGTAAAATACTTTCAATTCAAAAGTGCTTTTTTTATGTGAAAAGAATCTAACTTAATGATAATAAAAAAAAATAATAAACAACGATAATAAAAATAATAATAAAACAAATGAAACAAAGAAAGGTGAAAGGAAGAAATTATAAGAAAATAGATTATTAATTGTTCATTCAAATAAAATTCCATATGTATTTCTTTTGAAATTTTTTTATCTTAAATTATTATTATTTAAAAAATTTAAAGATTCAGCTCTATGTGACTTATTCTTTCCTTTATTAAAAAGGAAAATAATCATAAATATTCTATATTTGATGTAGAATTTTTATGATTACGATAAAAAGGATAATGAAAATAGAATGGTTATGAAGAGTTATATAAATTTTAATTAACTGTGATCTAAAAAAATTTTTAGATAAAATTGTAGATAACTATAATAACTATAAGAATAAAACCTATAATAAAATGGAGTGATAAAATTTTTAGATCAATTTAATATTTAGAATTCAATTACATTGATATGAATATGAAATTAATATATAAATATATAAAATTTTTGAAAAATATCTTTGAAAAATGAATGTATTATTATTTTAATTGTCTCTCGTACATTCTAAGATCATTGATTTCGATTTTATCTGTAAAAAATAGAAACTTAGAATAGATTAATAAAATAGATTATTAATAAATAAATTATTAAAATAGATTATAATTTAATTCAATATATTTTCAATATTCTTGTTTGGAGTGTTATTAAAATATTAGAATTTTTATTGAGATTTTTAGTAGATTTTTGTAAAATGAATACGCGATTAATTTTTTTTATCCAAAAAAAGAATATGTTATATTACTTATCATTGTAATATAATTTTTACTTATCATAAATATCATAAAATTAGGAATTGTTTTTCTTCTTCTCTTTATGATTTTTTATTGATTATTCTACTAACTTTGAAAATTAATATTAATATTAAATTTGATTACACATTAAATAAAAAAAATAATAAAAGTATGTAAAATTTAAACAAAACAAATGAATAAATATAATTTTTCTTATTCGTTAAAAAATAGAAAGTATAGTTTCTTTTCATTTTTGTTTTCATTAGAACATTATATGATAATTATAAAAAAAACGGATTGTTATCACATTTGTTTAAAATCTAAAGTATATGTATGAAATATATCAATACGTTTTTTTCCCCCATCTTTTTTAGTCTCTTATTAATTAATTTTAAATTATTAATAATCAGATTATTAAGTTAATGAATATATTTAAAAACATTTTAAGAGACATCATTATTACATCCATTATTTTGTCATAATTATTATTTTTTATGTCATCAGTAATACGATAAAAAAAAAAACACATCGTTCTGTATATATTCTTCAAATACGGAATTGATTTACTGCAAACTTTTTCTTCGACAATCTACGTTCTGCAAAGAAAAAAGCAAAGAGATATTCTGTCAGGTATTATCAATATCAAACTGTTGAGTCGATAACATCACGATATATCCTGCATTTGTCAGTCTAATACCGTACGATACGCGATTCGTTTGTTAAACGATCGATACTCCGCAACCGTGATCACTGTTGAAATTCTTCACGCTGTTTCCTGCCCGTGATTGACGTGTAGCTTCTTGAAAATCGATCACGGAGAAAAAAAGTGAAAAGAGAGTTAAAAGAAATCGAAACTGAAGAAGAAACCGGAGAAGAAACTATAAGAGGAAAAAATTAGGAAGAAATTGAAGAGAAATCGAGAAGAATCGAAAGAGAAACTGAAGAAATAGAGATAGTAGATAGAAATATGGAGAAGAGAGAGAAGAAACGTGCTTCGATTCGTGTTTTAAAAATCTACGATCATCCGAATCGTTCTTCCATCAGTGATCTTTATTTATAAAAGATCTTCTTCAATTTTAAAACTTGCTCTCCAACAATTTCCTTCTTCTTGATCATATTTTATGAAAGAAAGGAATAATATAACATATTAATATTGTTATTGGATAATGAAAAATCAACGACAACTTGAAATGTTCTCCAGCGGATTCAATTACCGGTATCGCATCCCTGATCGTTTTCGATCGTCGCTCGACCTTAATTTATATTAAGCCGATTGGTGGCAGGCTGCAATTAACGATCGAAATAATTCCTTGGAGCAGTTGCGGTCGATGAATTAATGCCAGTTCCTTAAAAATGTAGTTGATCGTTCGTTACGTCAATCGTATGGTGTACTATGCGAATTGGAATTCTTTCAGTTGATACCAACACAGATCTATGGAGTCTTAGTATTTTTCTCTAAGATTTACTCTATCCATCAGATCTATCATTGTTTTTCGATCGGATTCCAAGATGTCCATACATGAATACGACGTATGGAGTAATGACATTTGGAGTCCGAGGATACGAAAAAGAAGGTGCGAAAATTGATTTAATGTGTAATCATTTAAAATAAGAGCAGTCGGTCATCCTGACGCTATTGATGACTAATTGAAGATCGGACGCAACTGAAAGATTAAAGTTTCTTTAATGTTTGAGAAAAGTTAGTATACGTATAATCGGTCTTGCGTTTGTGGATCGAAAGTTTGTGATTATTTGAATATAATTTACTTTTCATTTTCGTAATATATACTTATTTGATTAGTGGCAGATTGATAAATCGTATGTTGTGATAATTATTAGATGAAATTATAGATAGAAAATTGAATAGTAAATTGAATTCATAAAAGAGAAATTTTAAGGAATTTTATGTATGTTTTTGTTATTTGGCTTTTTTATTGAATATTTATACGTATTCTTCATATTTATTTAAAATATCTTTGTTTCTTTATTATAGAATTCTTATCAAATTGCATTTTCTTCGTATAGTATCAATTCAATATTGAATATATTATATTAATCAAATAAATTGTCATAAATTGATCGATCTTCTTTTGTAGAAAATACGTAGAAAATATTTATTCATTATTTAAAAAATCTTTTGAATTAAAATAACTTTATCAACAATACTTGAAAGACATAAAAAAATTCAATTTTAACTTTTCATCAAAAATCGATTCTACTAAAAAAAAGAAAGAAAAAAATAAAACAAAAAAAAAAAGAACTTTGTTAATGCGTTTATATTATAATATTGACACAGACTTACACGTCACGAGCATAGTCCACTGTGCTCTAATAATATGTATATGATTTCATGGATTTTTTTTCAAATAAAATTCGGATAGAATAGAAAATTTTCAAATAGAAATCATTATCATTACAATTATATGTCCAATTATTATCTATCCATATTATTTTTATGCAGATACAAATATATTTATATAATATTTATTTATTCTTGATGAATATTTTTAAGATTTTTTCTTTAATATTTTTCTCCATTTTCCTCCATTATATAATTTGACTAATTTGAATTTTCATATTTCCATTCTTTTAGTCATCTTTCGAAACCGCTTAGCAGAAGTGCACCATCAATGGCAGCTGGTGGTGTCGTGCAGGCTCCAGGAAATGTTAACAGGTCCTCGTCCACATCCTCACCAACAACTACCAGTAGCGCAAGACAGAAGAAATTTCATAGGCATTTCTCTCAGGTAAAATATATATAAAGAGTTTCACTTGTTTATTTGAACGTTTCACTTTCACAATGTTACTTTCATGAATTAGAACGGAATTATATGAAAGTGTTGCTTCAAGTGTTGTTTAGCTTTTCAGTGTTTTTTTATCTTGCAAATAAATAAGTATATAAATATACTCGTAATTGAAGTTTTATCATCATTCGATTTTTTATAAGTATTTAAAAATATTAAAGTTTATCATAAATGTAAGTAATTAAAACGATAATAAGAATTTAAATTTTATAATAATGTAATTAGTATCTAAACTTTTATTTGTTTAAAAATTTTTAATTTTGATAAGAAATAGAATTAAAGAATGAATAATTTGTAAGAAATATGTATTAAAAAATGATATGAATAACATAGTGTAACTTAAGAAAAACTTGATCAATTTATCAAAGATTAGTATTATATATTTTACATCTTTTTTATTGAATACATAATTATTAATATTGATAAATATAAAAATCGAAAAATATATATTTCTTGTTAAAAGTGACAAAAGTTTTGAAGATAAAAAGATATTTATCATTTAAATTCTTTATTCAAAATTCTGTATATTTCACAATTATATAAAAATTATAAATCCCTTACCTATTATTTCTCTTCAATTTCCAAATTCTAATCGATCTGCATCTTTTTACAACTAAATCACTTAATTTCAAAATATTTCATCATTAGGTTGCTGCGGATGAACGCGTATTGAACTATTATAGCTGCGCACTGGTAGGCGACATCTTGTTGCAAGGACATCTATACATCACACCGAATTACTTTGCATTCTACAGTAATGTGTTTGGCTATGTAACGAAGCTATTGATACCTACGATTTCTGTATTGAAAATCAGCAAAGAAAAGACCGCGCGAATCATTCCAAATGCGGTGGCGATTACTACAGAAGAGGAGAGACATGTTTTTTGTTCCCTGTTGTCCAGAGACTCGACTTTTAAGCTGATGAAACAGGTTTGGGATGCAGCTACGGAACCACAACCGTCACCAACTATCCTACCGTTGGCAAACGAAGAAAAGCTTCTTGTTCCGTTAGTCGATGATTCTGAAGTGAATCCCGAAGAGGATGATTCCAGTATGTCCGAAAGCGGGACGGATCTGAATTCCAGACCGCCGACTATTTGTACCGATACCGATGGTGTTCCATTGGCAATTGCCAGACCGAGTTTGCCACCACCTCCAAAGTAAATAATTGTTTCATAGAAATTCCTTCCTCTCTTTTTTTAAAGATACAATTCAATCTCTTCATAATGGAACTGTGTACATAACACCATAGGCGAGTCATCTAACGTCTTAATTAAAAAAGATACCCAAGATGTGTATATATCTCGTTTATGAACACAAAAGAACTCTTTTATTATTGATTTATTGATGAAAACCAATCAATTTTTTTATATATTCATTTTATATAATCATTATTTAAAGACTACTTTTAAATTTATTAATATTAATATTACAATATTTTATTTAACAAAGCATTATAAGAAAAAAATTGTATATAATATTTTTATATATTTAGATAATACAATTTTGAAACTATTAAAATCATTCAAATAATTATAAAACGATTTAAAGATTTGGAGTTCCAAAAATTTTATATTATCGTTTTAAAAATAATATTCAATATACAAAGCTTCATTCAAAATATATTACAAAAAATTTTATAAAGAATTAAAATGTTAAATCATCAATATCATGTACATTGAAAAAACTGTTAAATAACTATCATTATCTTTATGATATTTAATTATATCTTTAAATTTGTTTAGAGTGGAACCATCACCAACGGTGCCGTTATTACCTACTACGTCCAAATCCACTGGTATCTTATCTTTATTCAAGAGTGGATTGAAAACTAGTACAGTGATCACTATCCTGATAGCTCTTTTGGCAGCTCTCTATGTATCGGCGGCTCTGATGATGATTCGTATCGATAGGTTACACACGGCGTATCTGAACCATCCTCTTGTTTCGCCAGAACGTTTCACTCAGGATCGACTTTTGCATTATCTTAATACAAATCTTGATCAAATAGTAAAGGTACGATACTTTTTATTATGATAAATAAACACTTTATAAATATTGTATTCTTAATATATATTATTTTCTAGATTATTTTGATTTCTACGTTATTAAAAATATAAATTTTATTTATTAACTTTTTTTTGTCCTTTGTGTATGTTCTTTAATATTATTTTCATTATTATATTTTATTTAGAAAATCTTCTTTCCTTAAAAGATTTAAATTAGATTTTGCTTAAATATATATCACTTAAAGAATCATATCTTAGTATTAATTGAATAAATTTCCAAATCTTGATTTTTTTAATAACTAATCTTCTAATTTTTTTTTTTTTTTATTTCTTCATAAGGAATATCTTCGTGTCTTTTTGTAAATGTTATTTGATCGTTTTCTATATGATAAAAAAGAATTAGATTATAAAAATATCTTCATTATTTTAGGTACGACAGAGTCTACAAACGTTGTCACAACAGTTTGTATCAATGAGCCAAAGTGGTGAAACAGATCCAAGCGTATCTGGTGCCGTGGTGGAACCGGAAGATGCTCCGAGTTAGCCCCCGACGAAGCTAAATAATTTAATGCAACCAAATAATACGAGTCCCCATCGCTTCGCTAGCGTATGAAGCGTCTCGCATTAACGCGAGATTATCTTTGTGGTCTGCGTCGATTACTTTCGGCGTGTGAAAACGATTCCGAATTGAACAACTAAACGACAATGCTGTTTCTAGAATCCTCAAATAGGCAAATATTATTGTTAGAGTATCTAGAATTACCTGAACAGGTTCTGAAAACTATAGAATTATATTTAAAGTAAAGCGACAAAACAGGAAAAAAAAAAAAAGAAGAAGAAGAAAGTAACATATACAAGTCTCAAAAAAGAAAAATTATAAGAATCCTCCATATATAGATTGAAAAGTATGCGTAACTCGATTCTCAATTTTCAGACATGCTTGCAGAATTTAATTAAGATGCTTAAACAAAATAAACAAAATAAACGTTAAAAAATAGAGAAAATATATTGGATGCACGAATGTATGCAAGACAATTATATGTAATTTATTATAAAAGGATATAATGTGAATTGATCACAACACACAAAGAAAAAGAAAATTTTTTTTCGCGCAAGGCGAGCGAAGGGATTTTCGTTTTTGAACTAGTCACATATTGTATATGCCCCACATACAGCAAGAATATAATGAACAAAGTGAAATATATATATATATATATAATATTATGAAAAACTATATATATATATATATATATATATATATACACACACACACAATAA